ACTCACCTAGGTGAACTCTGTGCTACCTGACCTATCTGAGCAGGGAGCAGGCAACTGGGCAGCTCTGACCCACACCCAAGATTTTCCTGGAGAACTGGAGGAAGTAGTAAGGTTGGTTTTGTGGGACATGGAGATACAACCCAGAAAAAAGCAGGGGATCTGCCTCACTGGTCAGCTCTCCGGGTTTGAAGGGACCAAGCTAAAGAAGGGCTTGGAGGCTGGGTGCGGTGGCTCAAGCCTGTAATCCCGGCACTTTGGGAAGCCGACACGGGCGGATCATGAGGTCAGGAGATCGAGACCATCCTGGCTAACATGGTGAAACCCCGTCTCTACTAAAAAAATACAAAAAACCAGCCGGGCGAGGTGGTGGGCGCCTGTAGTCCCAGCTACTTGGGAGGCTGAGGCAGGACAATGGCGTAAACCCGGGAGGCGGAGCTTGCAGTGAGCTGAGATCCGGCCACCACACTCCAGCCTGGGCTACAGAGCAAGACTCCATCTCAAAAAAAAAAAAAAAAAAAAAAAAAAAGAGAAGGGCTTGGAGACAGGCAACTCTTTTTCTTTTCTTTTCTTTCTTTATTTTTTTTTTTTGAGACAGAGTTTGGCTCTGTCACCCAGGCTAGAGTGCAGTGGCACGATCTCGGCTCACTGCAAGCTCCACCTCCCGGGTTCACACCATTCTCCTGCCTCAGCCTCCCGAGTAGCTGGAACTACAGGTGCCTGCCACCACGCCCAGCTAATTTTTTTGTATTTTTAGTAGAGATGGGGTTTCACTGTTAGCCGGAATGGTCTCGATCTCCTGACCTCGTGATCCGCCTACCTTGGCCTCCCAAAGTGTTGGGATTACAGGCGTGAGCCACCACACCCGGCCAGGGAGACAGGGGACTAGTGAACCAACTGAACTCAAGATTTGGTTTGTGGAATAGGTATGCTTCTTTTTGGGGACAGTGGGGAGGAGGGGAAGATTTTCTGAGTGGTCTATCCCGCTAAATATTAAGAACTCTTGCCCTAGAAGAATGTGCTGGGTCTCTCCCAAGGCTCTGTCTTCTTTGACACATTATTTCAGAGCCCAAGAAGTACCTGGAAAGTACCAGAACAACCCCCTCACTGTCCAAATAGGGATCCTGAGGCCCAAGAGGGTCAGGCAGGATTGACCCAGGGCACAAGAGGTGTTAGTGGAAAGCTGGATCTACAACTCTTGGGTGTCTCATGTCTCACAACAAATGAATCATCCAGCAGGGCATCACCTCTCACACTACCTGGTGAGCAGAAGAACCTGGGTACTCATTCCCAGGCCCATCCCCTCAGGATTCTGATTTAGTAGGTCTACGGGGGGGCAGAAATCTGGATTTTAACACTCACCTGTCCCCAGTGATTCTGATGATGATGCAAGTCTGAGAAACACCAGGGAATGGGAAGGCCATAATAACCAGAGGAGAAACAAGAGTATGAACAGCTCCTTCTTTGAGGCAGGTCTCCAGGCCCAGAAAGTAGCACCTTCCTTACAAATAAGGCAGGTGGGGTTCTACTTGAGGGTAGGAGTGAGACAGGAGGCACCTGCCTTCTTAGTCTTAGAGCCCGTAGGTCTACTAGAAAACAGGCATTCAAGACTCTACCAGAATTTACCTCTGTGATCACTTCTCTTTCAACTCATGCTTTGCCCCAGTCCCAGCAGGCTTCCTGCTGACTCTGGAACACACCACGGCTCTCCCTCATTCTAAGTTCTCCTTTCCTCTCCACCTATTTAAGTACCAGCTTGTTATATTCTCACCATCTGACATGGGGCTATGGATAAAAACCTTGATTCATATATTCATTCATCATTCAATTCATTTCACAGCACTTCTCAACCCTGGCTAGGCATTACCACCAATATCCCATTGCAAACTGTCTGGGAATGGTCCTCAGGTTATTTGTATAAAATGCAGCATGTCTTTCAAGCACAACGTAGTGAGAAAAAATATTTTAATTGCATATACCTCTAAACTAGCAGTTCTGCAGAATCTGAAGAGTTCATCCTAGAGATGTTTCAAGGGTACTTATTACATCACTATTTGTAAGAGGAAGACCACATGTACCATGTGGAGGAGTCTATTGGTCAAGACCTCTAAAGAATTCTGAAGTCAAATTTGAATTCTACGTCTTACCAATTGTGTGACCCACGGCAAGTCATTGAATATCTCCAGACCTCAGTCTCCTCTGTAAAATGGGGGAGTAACAGGGCCCACCCTACAGAGTTGCTGTGAGGTGTAAATAAATACTTAACAAGAAGATATAGACGTATGTGCTGAATATGGAATGATCTTCAAATCAATTGGTAAGTGAAAAAAACCAAACCGGCTAATATGCATGTTTGGCCATATGTATTAAGACAAAACAATGACAAAGTTGGAAGGAGAATATGTATGCATTCATATATGCAGGGAATTTATTTCATAAAACATAAGGAAACGAGAACGTGAAGTCTGGAAGAAAAACCTCACTTTCACATTTTGTACTATCTGATTTTACTACAAGTTCTGAAAACAAAAGCAAAAACTAAAAATACTCAAATTACCAAGTACTACTGGTGATTCTGATATACAGCCAAGAGTGGCACCCAGTGGGAATCCAACTGCCTGCTCAGGAAGAGGCAGTGGGGATGTGTGACGAAGCTATGTAAAACACTGGCCTGCCCCACAGGAGCCCCTACTCTGAAGGCAGAGTTATACCACAAACATAACTCCTGCCTTTAGTATTCGAGTAGTGGAGAGTATGGCAGGGGTAAGAAATGGCTGAGCTCTGAGCCTGCTGCAGCTGAGCTGGGTTCTTATTGCTCTTTGTCTAGGACTAAGAACTTACTGCCAGACTAGGAACTAAGCTGATGTGACACCTGGCCTGAGTAACCGTCTCCCGCTACGATCATGCTGCTTCTGTGACTTCCACATAAAAACTCAGTAAAATAAAGGTGACTGATGCTAAGGCAGGTGGGCCTCGGGAGATGAGGGAGGCCAGGCAGCTATGTGGCTCCCCAAATCCCAATCCTAGCAGCCCATGCTTGTTTCCTCACCTGTAAAATGGGGCTAATGACAGGACCTAGCTCATGGGGTTGTTGTGAGGACTAAATGAGTCATTGACATTAAAAATAACAATTGGCAGTTATTAAGTGTTTACTACATGTCAGGCATGTAGGAAGCTACTCGTTTTTTTTTTTTTTTTTTTTGAGACAGAGTCTGGCTCTGTCACCCAGGCACAATCTCGGCTCACTGCAAGCTCCACCTCCCGGGTTCACGCCATTCTCCTGCCTCAGCCTCCCGAGTAGCTGGGACTATAGGCGCCCGCCCCCACGCCCAGCTAATTTTTTGTAATTTTTAGTAGAAATGGGTTTTCACCGTGTCAGCCAGGATGGTCTCGATCTCCTGACCTCGTGATCCACCCGCCTCGGCCTCCCAAAGTGCTGGGATTACAGGCGTGAGCCACCGTGCCCGGCCACATGTGTTAATTCATTGAATCCTCACAACTACCCTAGAAAGCAGATATAATTATCATCTTGATTTTTTCTTTCCTTTTCTTTTTACTGAGGTTACATACTTCTCAGGATATCATCTTGAATTTAAGATGAGGAAACTGGCTGGGTGCGATGGCTCACGCCTGTAATCCCAGCACTTTGGGAGGCTGACGTGGGCAGATCACGAGGTCAGGAGTTCGAGACCAGCCTGACCAACATGGTGAAACCCTGTCTCTACTAAAAATACAAAAATTAGCCAAGTGTGGTGGCGCGCAGGAAACTGAAGCACAGAGAGGTTAAATTACTTGGTTATATGGCAAGTAACAGAACTGGGATTTAAACTTAGTCTGACTTGAGAGCCACACAAGAACACTGCTTTTTTTTTTTTTTTTTTTTTTGGAGACAAAGTTTTGCTCTTATAGCCCAGGCTGGAGTGCAATGGCACGATCTTGGCTCACTGAAACCTCCACCTCCCGGGTTCAAGCGATTCTTTCACCTCAGCCTCCCGAGTAGCTGGGATTACAGGCGCCTGCTACCACGCCCAGCTAATTTTTGTACTTTTAATAGAGATGGGGTTTTGCCACATTAGCCAGGCTGGTCTCGAACTCCTGACCTCAGGTGATTTGCCAGCCTCCGCCTCCTAAAGTGCTGGGATTACAGGCATAAGCCACGGCACCTGGCCAAGAACACTGCTTTTAAAGTTAATATACAAGTAAAGACAGTACTTGGCTTGTTGTAAGGGCTCAATATGAACTATTATTCTGAAGAAGGTGCAAAGAGTTAGGGTGACTAATTTGGACAAACTGCATGGAGCCCCTTGGCACTGGGGCCAACAGTTCTCCATCCAGCTCTGTGGAGGCCCACACAGCCAGAACAGCTTCAGCAGTAGCCCCTGATTCTAGCCTGACTCCTGTCTACAACTGGGGCCTAAGAGACAGGTCTTAGAGAAGCCTGGCTCACCCATCCGAATGCCAATCTCACAGGACACAGACTGCCTCTCTAATAAGTACTTAGGGAACTGACAGGATGAACTCTATCTAAATTCAAAACTCTCTGGAACTGAAAGCTGCTTATGCTTTAAGTCCAACCTAACTTTGAGGGTAAAGAATAGTATAGGATGACATGAATTTTGGAAGAGTTCTCAAATTACCTCCTAGCCCTGATATCCTGAAGCTTAAGAAATTAATTACTGCTCACCTTCTATACCCCTTTCATAATGACTAATTTAGTCTGTTCCTTTCAGCAGCCCACATAAGCTACTCTACATGATCTTCCTGTTATGGGGAGTTTCCAGTTTGCACTGCCTTCTCCCATAAGTCCACCATGCCATGCCTGAGGATTTATGGCAACACAGTCCCAGAAGACCCATGATGACAACTTAGGAAGTAAGGAACTCCCCACCCACCAAGCCTACAACCCATTTTAGCCCCATGGTTGAGTTGACCTCCCTAGCCATGCGACATCTATTCCAGGTCTCCCTCCTGCTGTGCTCCCATCTCTAAGGGTGGAGACTCACCAGCACTGTTGGCCTCCGACTCCAGCAGGTGGATGTCATTGCAGTCCGCCAGTGAGTGCTCCAGGCAGAGCTGCAGGAAGCGGGCCTGGGTACGGGTGACCCGTTTCAGAAGTGACAGCAGGGCCACTGTCTGCTCACACTCATTCCAGCCCTTGAACCAGCCAGCGAGGATGCCCACCTGGTCTCGGAACATCATGGTGCCGGGCCTGGGGCCAGGGTGGGGGGACGGCGGTGGCGAGGGCCAGCGCCGTCACATGGTCCCGGCTCTGGCCTCCTGTTACCTTTCCCCTGAGGGCCAGGGCTTAAGGACGTTTCTGGGCGTGGTGGCAACGATTGTGAGGGGAGGAGGAAGCCTGCTCACATTGGGGGAGGTCTTGGTCCAGCCACGCCTCTCCAGTCTCCTGAAAAAGGAAGCAAAGGGGTCAAACAGAAAGAAGGGGCTGAAACTTGCCTGGTGAGTGTGGGTTGAGGGGGCATGAAGGGCTCATGCCTTTCTCTTTCAGGGTACTTGCTCTGCTGAGCTCCTGGAAGAAAGATGAAGCCAACACCAGATATTAAAGCAACTTTCACCCAAATCTCCAGATCCAGAGAAAAGGCGTGACTGGGACTCAGATGCTTATCCCAGAGACCAAGAAGATGTTGGCCCCCACACCTGGCTGTTATAGTGTCAAAGGAAGCGGATTTAATACAGAAAATACACTGGAAAGATTTTTCAGGAGTGGGAAATAGAAGGCTGCAAATTATGAGAAAAGATACGAATTGATGGCGATCTGGCCCAAGGTGACATGACTAAGCACAGCACATCTCTGACCTTGCTGGTTTCTGGCTACCTTTTCTGAGAGCTAGACAGTGTGTCTGCTAACCTACTGATAGGACTCCAAGGGCTCTCTAAATTACTTCAAGTTAGTCCCGCAATGCTGGCAGAGGATGGATGGTGGGGTAGTGACCCTGGTGGAGATCTCAGGTATGCAGCCAGTCATCTGATCAGTAACTGGCTGGGTATCTATCAGGTGTGGGCATGGACAAAGGGCTTTTCAAAGATTACCAACAGGCTGAGGGAATCTCGCCCCCTCTAACACAGTTCCCTGACTCTGGAAAAGATATAGCTCTGATTTATCAGATTTTACTCATCTCTATTCTGAGGTGAATCACTCCCTGTCCTCTTAATTCACCTGAAGGCTGCTCCAAACCTAAACTCTCTGGTTGGGAAGTCCCCCTGACTTCCAGAGATGCCAGCTTGTCTCAGGCTCCTCTTGGAAGCCAAGAAAATGCCAACCTGAGGGGAAGTGGACAGATCAAAAGTCAAAAACTCACAAGCTGCAAAGTGTCCAAATCCCCCTCTTAGGCAGGAACTACAGAAAAGTTATTTCAACTAGGCAAACAACAGCTCTATTTTTCAGTTGGCTGGTTTCTGGACACTACTCCGAAGCCTTTTTCTAAGTGTCTTGAGCTCCATATCTCCACTCAACATTTCTTCCATTTGTCTCTCTTGCAACCAGTGCCCTTGGCGCTATCCTCAAACCACATTCAGCTCCATCCCCCTCTGGCTGCCAAAGGACTAAGGTTCCCTGGACTGAGAACTTCATACAAAGACCCATTGAACCTACTGGGCTCAGGTCTAAGGGAGCTACTCAAATCTCTCTGAACTTCCCTATGCTTGCTGAGGAGGGCTGTGGGGTGCATTAGGCAACAGCTGTGACTTGCCTCACAGATCCCCTGTGGGGCCCCTAAACAGATGGAACTGGCCTGGTTGCCAATCCCTTTGGATGTAAGAAGCAAGAAAGGTATGAGGGAAAATGAAACCTTGCTCCAAGTTAAACAAGCATCCAGCAATTTTTTTTTTTTAAAAGGGAAATCAGATGTCACCTCCCTGGCCTAAAATTCTCCAATGACTTCCCATTGCACTTAAATTAAATCTAAACAAGGTCAGGAGTAGTGGCTCTTGCCTGTAATCCCAGCACTTTGGGAGGCTAAGGCGGGTGGATCACTTGAGGTCAGGAGTTCAAGACCAGACTGGCCGAAGTGGTGAAACCCCATCTCTACTAAAAATACAAAAATTAGCCAGGCATGCTAGTGCACACCTGTAATCCCAGTGACTTGGGGTGCTGAGGCACGAGAATCACTTGAAGCTGGGAGGTGGATGTTGCAGTCAGCCAAGATCACGGTATTGCACTCCAACCTGGGTGACAGGGCAAAACTCTGTCTCAGAAAAAAGAAAAAAAAAAAATCTAAACAAATTCCAAACTTCTTATCTTGGCCTACAGAGCCCTACAGGACTCCTGTGGCTACTCCAACCTCATCTTGTACCAAATTATTTCTTATTCAGTGGAATTGTCTTCCCCTAGAGGCTGACTCCTACTTGTTATTCAGGTCTCAGCTCACTGCCATTTCTTCAAAGACAGCTTCCTTGACCATCCAATCTCAGGAGTTTCTCCTCCAATTATATTAACACTATTTCATTCCTATATAATTTGGCACTCTCAGGTATCACCTTATTTATGTTTCTCTCTACTGACCAAAATGCAAGCCATACAGTCAGCCAGTGCCTACAACAGTGCCTGGCATGCAGAAGGTGCCCAATATATATTTATTGAATAAATAAATAGCTATAGAAAGTGAATGTGGGCCGGGCGGGGTGGCTCAAGCCTGTAATCCCAGCACTTTGGGAGGCTGAGACGGGTGGATCACGAGGTCAGGAGATCGAGACCATCCTGGCTAACACAGTGAAACCCCATCTCTACTAAAAAATACAAAAAAAAAAAAACTAGCCGGGCGAGGTGGCAGGCGCCTGTAGTCCCAGCTACTCGGGAGGCTGAGGCAGGAGAATGGCCTGAACCCGGGAGGCAGAGCTTGCAGTGAGCTGAGATCTGGCCACCGCACTCCAGCCTGGGCTACAGAGCGAGACTCCGTCTAAAAAAAAAAAAAAAAAAAAAAAAAGAAAGTGAATGTGGAAGCCACACTTGGGATTTCTACAGCCCTGGGGGGAAAGAAGATAGAAGGAACAGCTCATAGGATGGTAAAGGAATTTGAAAACCTTGTTTTAAGAAAAAAAAATTGAAGGCACTGAGGAGATTTCCTCTAGGGAAGAGAAGACTTAAGGGGAATGGCATAACTGACTTTGGATATCTGAAGAGGTAGCACACAGAAGATAAATTATATTTGTTCTTTTACTCTAGAGGAGAAAAGCAGGGTAGATGACTCTAAGGGAGTGACAACATGGGATATGGGAAATGTTGAAAGTCAAGAAAATTCAGTTCTAGTCCTGCCCCAAGCCACCGATTCACTTTGATCACGGAGCTAGTCTGTTCTCTTCTCTAGAATGTATGACAAGGAGCTGGACTGGGTGAGATATGACAAATAGGTTTTACCTCACAGGCTAACTCCAATCGATTGGTAGTTGGCTGCCTGGAGCACTGCGATGAGAAGAATCCTGAAGAAATGAATGGGAATATCCATTAACGGGGAATGATTAATAAATTGGGGCAGATCCCACATTGTATGATATAACATATCTATTAAAAACACGCCTAATCTGGCCAGGCGCGGTGGCTCACTCCTGTAATTCTAGCACTTTGGGACGCTGAGGCAGGCAGATCACTTGAGGTCAGGAGTTTGAGACCAGCCTGGCCAAGGTGGCGAAACTCCATCTCTGCTAAAAATGCAAAAATTAGCCGGGTGTGGTGGCGGGCACCTGTAGTCCCAGCTACTTGGGAAGCTGAGGCAGGAGAAACACTTGAACCCGGGAGGTGGAGGGTGCAGTGAGTCGAGATTATGCCATTGCACTCCAGCCTGGGTGACAGAGCGAGACTCCATCTCAAAAAGAAGAAAAGGAGGCCGGGCGCGGTGGCTCAAGCCTGTAATCCCAGCACTTTGGGAGGCCGAGACGGGCGGATCACGAGGTCAGGAGATCGAGACCATCCTGGTTAACACGGTGAAACCCCGTCTCTACTAAAAAATACAAAAAACTAGCCGGCCGAGGTGGCGGGCGCCTGTAGTCCCAGCTACTCGGGAGGCGGAGGCAGGAGAATGGCGTGAACCCGGAAGGCGGAGCTTGCAGTGAGCTGAGATCCCGGCCACTGCACTCCAGCCTGGGTGACAGCGCGAGACTCCGTCTCAAAAAAAAAAAAAAAAAAAGAAGAAAAGGAAACAAAAAACAAAGCTATATACAATGTTTGATCTGTAATTACTTGGAGGGGTATCCACAAGCTACACAGTAATATGTACAATATAATGCCATTTTTTAAATTAAAAGAAGCCACATACAAAACCCCTTATATATCTTATATATGAATATCTATGTCTGTATGTGTATAAATGTATAGAAGAATACACCCTCAGCTGCCAACACTATCTTGGAGAAACAGGGGGATTATTAACACTATCTTTATATAACTTTGTACTATTTCACTAGCTGCAAGTGAATACATATTGCTTTTGTAATTTTTAAAAAAGAATTTAATGAAAAACAATTTTAAGGCAGCATACTTCCTGACTCAGTGAGAAAGAGTGCTGTGATTAATTATCAATGTTTGCCCTGGATGCAGGGTGGATGAGTGGTAGCTCACGCGCCTAAAAAAAATCGGTTTTCCTTCCCAGCTCCAGCATTTTGTGGCTTTCAGTCCCAAGGAGGCAGCAGCTGCCTCAACATAAGGAAGAATTTTAAAATAACGCATCTGTCCAAGAATGGAACTGGCTGCCATGTGAGGAGGTAATAAGCTCCCTGGCTGCTGGAAGTGGTCAAGCGGAGGCTGGATGAACATCCCTTGGGAGTGGGAGGGATTCCTTCACTGGGTGGCAACTCATAAGATAGAAGGACATGTTACTATTTCAGAGGGAACATTTGTGACGGGAGGTTTGATATGCCAACAGCATTTACAGCAAAAAAACGACCAAATCCACAAACAGACCAAAGTTGTGCACACTCTTTCCCATAAATTCTTTTACTGGGTTATTACTTTTCCTAAGCAATAGCACTGTTCCCCCACTTCCATCCACCCAATAAGCTGCTGACTAAACATTAATCCAGCTTTTCCCCCCAGGCCAAATGATAGAAGCAAAGCTTTGGGACATAATGGGGTCTCAAACATGATGCTTAGAAGGCCAGGCTTTGAACAAAGCAGGCCAACTGGGACTATGGTGAGTTGGAAAGTCCACACCCGGTCTAAAGGGAGAAGTCACTATCCACCTCTTACCAACTGTTACCATGAAGGAATGTGGGTCCAGTATTGTTACGTCTTAGTTGTTTTTTTTTTTCCCCGCTAAAGAGGAGCTAGATGTCTGGATTTTAAAGTAAAATCCCCCTATTTTCAAATGTGGGAAACGAATCACATTAGAACAACAGTGAATGACTACACAGAAGAAAACATACCTGTGGTCCTTGGAACAGATGAGCACAAACTAGAAAAAGACCAGAAGTCTGCTAACTACCCCTCCCTTGGGCCTCTCTGGTTTATACCTTCAAGCCACCCCACTGCTCAGGGAATATGACTGGTGGAGAAGATCTAGTGATGGAGGATGATTCTGACAGTCTTCAGTAAACACTGGAGGCTTTAGTGAAACAGTTACTTTTAAGATTTCACTGTTAAAAAAAATCATCCCTGGCCGGGCGCGGTGGCTCAAGCCTGTAATCCCAGCACTTTGGGAGGCCGAGACAGGCGGACCACGAGGTCAGGAGATCGAGACCATCCTGGCTAACACAATGAAACCCCGTCTCTACTAAAAATACAAAAAAATTAGCCGGGCGAGGTGGCGGGCGCCTGTAGTCCCAGCTACTCGGGAGGCTGAGGCAGGAGAATGGCGTAAACCCGGGAGGCGGAGCTTGCAGTGAGCCGAGATAGCGCCACTGCACTCCAGCCTGGGCGACAGAGCGAGACTCCGTCTCAAAAAAAAAAAAAAAAAAAAAAAAAAAAAAAATCATCCCTGAAGGAAGGGTTCCTATGTCTTCTGGATGAGAGAAGGATGTTTTGTGTTTGGTCTAGATGTTAACTGGAGAGGACTGGATGGCCCTCTTCCACTGAAGGGCCAGAGGCCACCTGCTACTTTCTATCCCATGTGCTTGGCTGGAGTGACAGAGGGAGATCTGTGTGAGGCATCTCACTGTGGCAGCATCTTACTGTATCCACTTCCATCTTCTAGTATCAACACCCTGGGTTCCCCTTGGAGAAGGAACTGTCTTTCTTGGCTCCAGAAGTGGACATGGGGTAAAGCCTGGCCAAGGACAGTCCTCTCTGGATTTTTGCTGGAACTACTAAGGAAAATAAGTCACTGGTTAGGGTTGCTCAGATTATACATCGTCTCATGATGTCACCAGTTGCCACCTCTTCTATTTCATGGTGGAAGCCTGCTTCAGAATGAAACTAACACAGGTAACAGTAGAGTCAAGAGATGGGGGAGGGGGAAAGGGAGGTCTGTTCACATGATTTAAAACCTAGATGCAGCTAGCCTGAAGCCTCCCCCTTGTGGCCCACTCTTTTCAGTTACATAGACGAATAAATTCCTTTTTGACTTAGGCCAGTTTGAGTTGGGTTTCAGTTAAAACTGAAAGAGCCTTGACAATTCCCATGCAAAACAGAATTCACCACTGGTTTGGTCTCTTTGTCCTCATGTTACCAAAAATGACTCCTTGCCTTTGAGGAAAGACACAAGAGGGGGACCTCTATAACAAAAGTCTCTCCAACAGCCCAGCAATATTGCTGCCATACTTGAAGAGGTCCAAGTGATCTTCTTGGGAAGCCCCTACCACCCTCCAGAGGTGGCAAACGAAGTTAACAAAATGGCTAAGAAGGCTGGGCGCAGTGGCTCACGCCTATAATCCCAGCACTTTGGGAGGCCTGGCCAGGTGGATCGCTTGAGCTCAGGAGTTCGAGACCAGCCTGGGCAACATAGTGAAACCTTGTCTCTACAAAAATTACAAAAAAATCAGCCGGGTGTGGTGGCGTGCACTTGTAATCCCAGCTACTTGGGAGCCTGAGGCAGGAGAATCACTTGAGCCCAGGAGGCAGAGGTTGCAGTGAGCCAAGATCGTGCCACTGCACTCCAGTCCAGCCTGGGCAACAGAGTGAGACCCTGTCTCAAAACAAAACAAAACAAAACAAAACAAAACAAAACAAAACAAAACAAAGCTAAAAGCTCCAGACCAGCCTGGGCAACATGGCAAAACCCTGTATCTACAAAAATTAGCTAGGCATGGTGGCGTGCACCTGCAGTCCCAGCTACTCAGGAGGCTGAGGTGGGAGGATCACTTGAGTTCTGGAGGTCAAGGCTGCAGTGAGCTGAGATTGTGCCACTGTACTCCCACCTGGAGAAAGGCCAGGTGAGGTGGCTCACACCTGTAATCCCAGCACTTTGGGAGGCCGAGGCGGGCGGATCTCCTGAGGTCAAGGGTTCGAGACCAGTCTGGCCAACACGGTGAAACCCTGTCTCTACTAAAAACACAAAAAATTAGCTGGGCATGGTGGCAGGCGCCTGTAATCCCAGCTCTTCAGGAGGCTTAGGCAGGAGAATTGCTTCAACCCAGGAGGTGGAGGTTGCAGTGGGCTGAGATCGCGCCACTGCACTCCAGCCTGGGTGACAAGGGTGAGACTTTGTCTCAAAAAAAAAAAAAAAAAAAAAAGTTAAGATATTCCAGGGCAAACTGCCCTCTGGGCTTCTTCTCTGGCCCCAGTGAGAAAAGGCCCATATGCCCATAAACAGCGCCTCTGGAGGCCAGCTCTCTTCATTCAGAAGCAGAATGTGGAGTCAGACCTGGCTTAAATCCTGGTTCTCTGTTATACTTACTTGCTGTATTGACTATGGCAAGTAACTCTGTTTCTTCCTCAATGAAGCTTGTTAGAAGAATTAAATGAAACAATGTATTTAAAAATAACTAGCATGATGCTTTTTCCCTCCGCTATACTTCATTTCAATAGCAATCATGATGTTTAGCATGTCTTCATACATCATACATTGTCAGGCCCTTTGCTAACAGCTTTCCACAGATAAGCACATTTGATTCCCAAAACTCTATTTTAAAAATATATTACATACATATACGAATATATTGTCATTTTACAGATGGAGAAACTGAGGCACAGAGCAGTCACTTTGCCCAAGACTGCACACTAAGCTGAGATTTTCAAGGCCAGGCAGTCTGGCTTCGGAGTTCTTGCTTGCTCTTAACAATGCAACGAAGCTGGGCATGGTGGCTCACACCTGTAATCCCAGCACTTTGGGAGGCTGAGGTGGGCAGATCGCTTGGGCCCAGTGAGACCAGCCTGGGCAACATGATAAAAGTTGGGCCTAAGGGCCCTTTAATATCAACATCTCTGGATAAATAAGGGGATCCTATCTGCCTTTTTACCCATTCCTACTTCTTTTTACAGCACGACCTAGGCCTTTGAGGAACTGACACTTCATGAACAAGGTAACAGGCTAGTTACCTAGGGTTAACTC